GTAACAAAGCATCATTCTTTAGCATTGGTGTCATGGCTACTCCGTAAAGATTTAATGAAGTCTACATCTGTTTCACTTATGTATCATGTTGTCGTACAGAAGATCTGATTAAGAGCTCTTACCAATTATAAAAAAAAAAAAAATTGTAATCTTTATATGTGAATAATCATCTCAGAATATCAATTCCTAATTTTTGAAAAAAAATTCTCTTGATAATCATCTGGAAATGCCAAAGGATGCTCTCCACTTATCAATAAACCTACTGTGTAGATATACGTAACATAGAACTATTTTTCATTTATCTCAGTCCATTGAAAACATATTTGCTCTGTTGCACATTCCTCATCATGCTCAGATGATAGTTTCATTTATTAAGAATAAAAAGCTCCCCAAACCAACCTCTTCCTGTGTGAAAAACAAATCAGCCCTCAATTCTGACCATCTCCCATCATGGGTCTTTTGCGTATTTTGCATCACTGAAGAGGAATCGTGACCGATTCTTAAGCTGAACCATTCATTTAGCTGCACTGGATGTTTTTTTTAAGCATCCCAGAAAAATACAGAAACAAACTGAGCTGCTGGTTGATTAACTGCCTCTCTGAAAAATAAAATATTTAACAAGACCTTACCTCTATTTGTCTTTGATCTATATCGTCAGGGTGCAGTGGTGTGCAGAGTAGCCAAAAATGTACTCATGTAATGATTATTAACACTAACTCATCAAGAGTAAAATCAACACAGCATCTAATATTTAAAAAGATGTAATAAAGACAGTCCAACGTGTACACTTATGTGCAAATTATCTTTTAAAGACTATAATAAGATAATTAAAACGGAAATTGATTCCAGGAGGAAAACCCCTTTCCAAACTAATTTCATTTTTAACATAAAACCGATCAAACCTCTACTTACGGTGGCCCTTCAGTAACAATAAATCATTTTGGCATAATTGTTAAACGGTTAAAGCACTTAAAAAAAAAAAAAAAAAAAAGCAAGTTTGTTCATTATTTAATGAAGTTACTCACGATGGGCGGAGTCAAACTCTAGTAAGAGTAGAGATATTTTATTAAGGCATCCATCCATCCACTTTCTCTTATTCCATCATGGTGGCGGAGGGCCTCTCTGCAGTCTATGGGCGAGAGGCGGGTCACACCCTGGACAGGTCTCCAGTCAGGACTTATTAAGATATGATGCAGTAAATCTATTCCTAAAAGTATATTTTTGTCAAAATGTTAACCAAGTAACTGTAACTGAGTAAATGTAATGAGATATTACACACCTCTGGAGGCGGTGTATTGGGTAGAGAGCAGGAGAGGCTACATTCATCAGGTTAGCTTAGACTGTAACTGCTTCAGTACACTGGCCGCTGCCTGGGTGGTTCATCACTCCAAGTTCTCTTTATTTGAGGATTATGACTCTCACTGCAATTGACTGAACTTTAAAACCATAAAAAATTACTCTGTAACCTTTTTCAGGCCTATAAACAAATCATTACTGTCAATATGTATTGCTCTTTTTATTGTGGCATGTCACTTTTAGCAGTTCTTTTTGCCAGCTTCGTGTTGTCAAACAGGCACTAACCCTTTTTTTTTTATATATATCAGTTAGCGTAATGACCTAGGTTTTCTGGAACTGAATAAAAAGGGGATCAATTGTGGTACTGCATTTTAGTAAGACAAATATATTTACACATGGGGCTAAGTTGGTTTACACTGCAAAAAAACTATCCAGAAATCAGTAAAAAAATCTTAAGTATATTTACCCTTAATTTGAGCAGGTAAATAAGATGATATGCCAATGGAATTAGTATTTTTACTCTTAAAATAAGATAGTTAAATAATATTAACCTGAGATAAGACGATAAAATAGTTTTTTCTTATTTTAAAAGGAAATTGTCTTGTTCCATTGGCAAAGTGTCTTACTTACCTCCTCAATTCAAGGAAAAATGCACTTATTTTAAGAAAAAATAACTTATTGAGATTTCTACTTTTTGCAGGGTAGACATGTCAGATTTATTATCTGGCTTGACAAAACCGCAAACAGAAGAAATACTCAAAATTTATTGTATGTAAGGAATAATCTTTACTATCCATAGAAGGACTTGTTAAAAGAATATTAGATAAGATAGAGATGCATACTTCTCATATAATTATAGATTTTCCTACTCATTATAAGGCTATAAGGATAGAAATTCAGTTTCATTTAATCTCCCCAAGAAGTCAAATTAGTTTAAACAGAGATCTATTTTGCCAAGATTAAGGTAATAATCCTCACTGTTTAAGTAACAAGGTTGGAGGGGAAGAATGGAAAGATACACGGCAGACTATATAGATATAATAGCCTATATAGCAATAATGATAATGCTGTTCCTCTTCTTAGGGGCCAGGTTTGATCAAATGGAACACGTCTTTAATTATGGCATTAGAGATCGAGCCAGCAGACTTACAAAGTAGGGCTGGACATCTAATAACGCAGTAACCTATCAGATAGACAGCAGCTTGGTGTGACACACAGATGTCCGATATCACTGAGGTATAAGAACCCATAATTTTCTTTATTCTTTTGATGCTGAGTCCAGTACTGTAATCTTGCATTCATATGTTGGTCTTTAGGAACTATTTTTCCACATCACACGATAACCTATGCACAAGAATGGCTTTGCTCATGTATGGCGTCTAAGTTCAACTTAAATCACCAATTTTTGCTTGAACTGGAACTTGAGAGAACATGAGTTTTCGAAGCACTAGAGATAAGCTCCAGCTCTGCAATGCACCCAAAGCATGGAAGGTGGATAGAGGGATGCATGTGTGGATCAATGCCATTCTACTTTGGTATCAATGATGAATGATGGTCCAGAAAATGTCATTTAAATCAGTTTGACTGGTGCATCAGAGCTGATTCACACCAACTTGTTTTCACAACAATGAGGAAAAACATGAAATCCAAACCTCTAAATCGAAAGGAACACTTCTGCAGCAGAGATGCACATTAAAGGATGAAATTATATTGAGTTTAACAAGAATAATATTTAAGGTTTGCTCATAGGATGTTAATCTCCTCATAAGAGGATAGAATTTTTTATGAATAGAATAAATATCAACTTTGTTTTCACTTTTTCAATACTCTCTATAATAAGTACATGGGTTAATACTGATGTTATGGAAACAGTTATTTTTATATACCTGGATAAAAAATGTACCTGTAACTATAGCAACTATAACACAGATTCACCTCAGCGTTATTGTGTTTAGAGTAAAAAACAGCTGTCATAGCTGGTTGAGTGTTCAGAGTTTAAATAAAAGCTATTTTTCTTGAGGAGTTATTGCATTATAATCTGGAGACGGGAAAAAAGTGCGACACTGATGGACATAAAACAGTCCGGATTTTATCTGACCGTCATTTGATTTCTGCATCTTTTCCAAAATTTTAATACCTTGGGCCTGTTTCAGAAAGGAGGTTAAGTGAAAACTCTGAGTTTGTTAACCCTGAAATGAGGGAAACTCTGGGTTTTCTGTTTCAGAAAGGGAGGTAAGTTAAACCTGAGAAAGCAGAGTAAGTCAAGCCCGTTTCTGAAAGAGAGGTAACTTATACTCAGAGTCAGTTACCATGGCAATTTACTCTGTGAACCTAACCTGGTCGGGAGCAGGTTTTCTTCAGAAAATCCAGAGTTTATTTTGGCCTCCTCCCCTTTTTTAAAGAGGAAGTGGTGTTTAAACACCTCATTGATTCTTTGGGGACATACAGTATTCATTGCACACATTTCAGTCACGTAGAGCGCATCAAAGGGAATGAAATGGCATGTCCTTGTATGGATGATCCTGTTTGTAAAGCCAGGTAGCTAGTCTACTCCCATGATGTGCTCAAGGCTTACCTGCTTGAAGTATGTTTTTATATTTCATTTTCAGCTGCTGCCATGTTCTTTTGAACACTAAATTAGGTTTAATAAAATACTGTTCTTCCAGTTTCACCTCTGATATTATAACAGTTGGGTAAGTTACTCTAAAATAGTTCTTAATTACTAACTAAAAATTTTATCTTCAACAAGTCTAATTAGATTAATGTAATAATTACTGTCTCTAGAAAGTATTGGTCTACTTACTAATTTGTTTTACTTACTTATTAATTACTTTCTAAATCCCAAATCAACCTCAACCACTTGAACAATACAAGGAGAGACAAGAAACTGCACTTCTAATGCTTTCAAATAAACAATATTCAATTGCATGAATTAATCTTAAATTGACCAAAGTGTGTAACTAGAGGGAGAAAGTTCAAATCAAAATATACCTTTCAAAATTTGATATTAAATCCACTATTGTTTTATAGTCTTTAATTTAATTACAGTATTTATATGACTTAAGTAACTTAATTCATTACACCCAACACTGTATAAAAGTAATTAAAATGTAAACTTACGCATTGACTCGAGCAGCTATTTTCACCCAAGCTAACTCTCTCTCCTTCGCCGCTGCAGCCGTGTTGCTTTTTTTTTTAAATACATGTTCAAATTCTGCATATGTTTGCATAAGCACATCCAGTTCTGCTGGTGAGAAATATGCACACCTCTTTTTGTCTAACGCTGTTGCCATGGTGACTCGTAATATCTGTGCTCCATTGATAATGGCTTTATATAGTTGTGGTGCATGCGCTTAACTCAGAGTCAGTCAATTTAGAGTTGATTGAACTAACTCATTTCAGCTGTTCTGAAACCCAAAACTCAGAGTTTCCAATCTCAGGATAAGTCAACTCAGAGTTCAAGTTTTAACTCAGAGTTGGTTGAACTTCCTTATTGAAACAGGCCCCTTGATTAAAGAGGCTTTGAGATTTCTAACAAAAACCTGATGTTCATTTCAAAATAAAGGCATAAAGCAAAGCCCATCATCCAAAAGTCTCTCTGTGCTTTACTGGATAACCTTCCTAAAGCTTCAATGTCTCCCGTTGCAGACCTGCTGTATTGGTTGATTATAAATACCACAAGGCAAAAAAAAAAAAAAAAAAAAAACAATTTAAAGATTTTATTTTTTGGCCCAAAACAAAATTAAACACAGTATTTTAAAAGTATTTCCTTAAAACAGTCAATGTAGCCAACATCCATTGTCATGTTGGCTTAGGTCAAGTTAGAAGATCATAAAAATAAAGTATACAACTGCAAATACTTTCATATGAGAAGTAAAACTGTATAAAACTCTAAACCTAATAAAATCAAAAGTAAAACAGAATTATCTCACAGCCTGAAAACGTTCCTCAGATTAAATGAAAAGTCTGAAAATTCTCTCATCCAGACTGAAGGAATTAAGTTCAGTGAAAACATCTGGGTTTATATAACATTTTACTTTGGTTGGAGCTGACAGTAGAAGTGTAATTCGGTCACATGATTCTTTTCACTACAGTGAATCAGCTTTTAATTCAATAACACATCCTTTATCATTGCAGCGTATTCACAGATACAGCTCTAGATTGACCTCTGGTGGTTTTCTCTATTAACAAGAAAAAAAACAATATTTGCTCTTATGTTTTTCTGTTCTAGTCTGAATTGAATAATAATGTATCATGTTTCACATGTATAAACAACTTGACAGCTGGAATGAGCGTAATGAATATTTTTGAGCCTGTAGGCTTTCAAGTGCTGTTAAAACCTCTGATTGGGTCTGTGTTTCTCAGTTTCAGTGGATCTATTCTCTAAGTGTTGAGCTTCTCAACCTCCTCTGTCCTCACAGTAGTTAGCTCCTCCTGATGATGATGATGCTCTTCCCCTGGAACCTTAAATAAAAGAAGAGAAAACTTGAGAATGGCTGAAAATTTCACATTAGTAACTCAATTATTTACTCTGTTATAATTTGCTTTCTTTATCATTTTTTTTTGAAGATATGTTGGATAAATTTTTCAAATGAAAAAAGCGTATTATTCTAGCTTAACTTTTTCACCCTGACATACAGTAAATGCACATATCAAGATGAATTATATAGCAAAACAGTTAATTGAATGTTAACAAAGCTTCTGCATGGAAATAAATTAAGAAGACAGGTTTAAGTAGCAGTTCTAAAAGAAAAAATCCTGAATTCAGCATAGATCTGCACGCAGTAGATCAAAAACATTAAATAGAAGCAAACATGTTGCACAATCTCCCAGTGAAGGTCATCAATGACAACAATTGGCTGGTTTTATTTAGCAGGTTTGCTGAAATTATTTGGTGTGGAATTTGCTCCCCCTGGTGGTCAGTCATGAATATATATCTTATTCACTTTAACTTGCATAATGGTGGTTAGATAAAACCTCACCCCTCCTAGCGTTTTCTAGAAGAAGTGGTTTCACTACAAAATTTTCCCTGAAGTATTGGTTAGAGTATTTTTTTTCTTCTATCCTTTAATGTCATCATCCAACAAATGAATTTTTGTGCAAAGAAAGAAATGGCAGTACAAAAGTAACAATAGATGTTCTTTCTACATGAACTACAATCATTGGGACAGAAATTGATGAAAACAATTATTTATAGCATATTAAATAAGGTGTTTATTTTATAGTATATGAAACATCTTTCCCAGTAATTTGCCCTTTTGTTAAGAGTTCTTTTTTAATGATTAAACATGTCGAAATTTGGTTCAGAAAAATCATGATAAAAATGTCAATTAATCAGGGCAATGGTAAACTGTAGCATTTTTATATATATATATATATATATATATATATATATATATATATATATATATATATATATATATATATATATATATATATATATATATATATATATATATATATATATATATATATATATTTCCCAAGAGAATCAATTAAACCAATATTCTTCAAATGTTGCCTTACTGTCATAAAAAATTGCATTAAATTATAATAAGTGGTGCATTTTTACCTCTATAAATAAGAAGTGAATAGCTGCCTTTTCGCTACGTTTAACTTTCAAATCAGTATTTATGTCTTTTCTTTATTTTATGTATTATCTGACCGCAAGCTGTGAGATATTATACAGATGCTGATTTTAAAAAAAAGTTATCAACACTTTTATCACCACAATAAATGTCACAGTTTATTGTGAAAAAATTCTAACTTCCCATTAACAACTCCTTCATACATTTTTAAAGGTTTTATTCCTCTATTCAGACTTTTTTCCCCATGACACCTTGGAATAAAGATGCAATTTGATATTAATTATGTGTCTGTTTAAATAAATGAAACTTTATTAGAGATTTATCAATATTTATTTTTGTTTTTTCTTCATATTTTGCATTTGCAGTTTGTTTTCAATCAAACTCACCTCCCAGTAGACGTTGTCCTCAAAGCAGGCATTATCGCGAGGAGCACCGAGCACCGGCAGCTTCAGAATGAAACCTGAAAACACAGAAAGGAAACTTGATCCTCTGTTCTCTTCAGGTGTTAAGTTCCATTCAAACAAGTAAAGAAACATATACTGCACTGAGATTTCTTTTTAAAAAAATACTTTGCTTTTCGCCTTCATTCATTTATCCACTGTATAGTAAACTGTTTTACTGTTTCATGTGGGTGATTTTTTAACTATGTGTTTTTCTTTCTGGACATTATTGTGACCAGAAATAACTACATTTATCCTTTACTGCAACACTAGTTTCAGAAATGCAAAGTTTTTTTTATTTTTTCTTGAAACACCAAGGACAAAAAAATAAATAACGTAAATATTACAAAGGCAAATAAATAAAGAAGCTAATTAAGAGTTATATACATTTATGTCTCACTTTATAATTTAATTTCTACTTACCTTTATTTGTTTATTGTATTTTTGTTGGCAATTAATTGTATGCTTATATATTTTTTGAGCATTTATTTATTTATGTATTTATTTTTAAATATGGCAGAGTTGGTCCTCCATACAGCTTAACTGATATCAGCAGTGATTTGAATGAAGATGGTGCTTGTTGCAATTTTCAAATGATTTGGGTTCTTTTCAATGCTATATCCTTGGAATTGCTTTGATAATCACTGGTTATGCACACACTTACCAACAATAAGTCCTCCAAGAAGAGCAATACCCAAGGTGATTGCAAGGGAAATTGCCTGCATGCCGCCCTGATAAGACGTGTCTCTACTTCCACTTGCCACATCAGGGAAAACTTTTTTCAAACTAACAGGTGGAAAAAAGGGAGAAAAAAAAACATGTTAGCCAAGTGTTAAATGTATATTATGGTATAGAAATTATTAAATGAAGGATCTATATGTGTAAAAATGTTCAGTTGAATATTAAGTGAGGGAAAGAGCAGATTAAGTGTTTACCCGTCTCCATATACATCCTTGGGAACAGCAGCAGCGGTGACGGCTCCAACAATGGCTCCCAGAATGCCGGGCATGCCGTGCAGATTGTGGACCCCACAGGTGTCTTGGATCTTTAGCTTTTCCTCCAGGATGGGCTTAAGGGAAGAAAAGAGCATATAAGGAGCTGCTGATAAGATTGTCATGTTATCTTTTATTTTACTAAACCACGTGGGACGAGTAACAACTCCAAATACAAAAATGAATAGAAAATGTGATAAAGAATTTATTCTGCTGTCTTTAAGACATGAAAACATTTTGAAGTATTTATACCGAGAGGTACTTGAACCCAAGAACGGAGATGATTCCTGCCAAAAAACCGACAATCATGGAGCCGAACGGCGTGAGCATCATTTCACCAGCTGTTCCTGCTGCGACTCCTCCAGCCAGGGCTGCATTCTGAATGTGCACCTAAAAATACAGACAGAACACAGGGTGAGATAAAGTAACAAACCATCTAAATTTACACTGTGCTTTTCTCTTAATTCAGTCCACTTCAAGCCATTTATTCCAGAGCCAAATTCACCCAGTCACACACTGAAAAAAATGAAATATAACCAAGTCAGTTTTTTTTATATGGGTGTATTTTCTCTTATTTTGAAAAGATGCCAAAATGTTTAAATGGAATAAGATTATTTCAGTTTAAAATAAGAAAACATAACTCCATTATCTTATTTTAAAAACATATTTAATCATCGCTAAGGGGGAAAAATACCAACTCCTCTGGCAGATCTTATTAACCTGCACAAATTGCAAGGCAAATACACTTATTTTGAGAAAACTTTAATCAGTTTCTGCGACACATTCAGACAGTTTCATTCATGCAGACACAGATTTGCTGATCAGTAAGCTGGGGTTAAATAAAACATGCATTTGCTGGTGTACTGCTCTGGATCTGTGCTGCTGGATTTTGTCTTTTGATATTTTCTGTTTTTTTTTCCTTTATGGAGCTCTGTATTCAAAATGAAAGAGCTCACCTAAGTAGGAAAGGGATAAAAAGCAAAACACATATTTAGCAAACATCAAAATATATGCATTTAACTAAATATTTTTGATAGAAAATGAAATACAAGCCTTGTAAGTAGACATTTAATATTTTACCTGCTTTACTAATGCTTGTTTCCCTAAAACAGATATCGACAATAATGTCTTCTAAAACCATAGTGCACGTTTCCCAGTGATGTAAATACACAACAGTTTTATTCTAAAATAAAGACCATTTCTAGCTGCCATGCCTAATTTGATATGTTGATTTCAGGCAACAATCTAAGGTCCAGTGATAGAGGTCCTAGAAGGATTTCACAGCACACAAATATTACACGACACTCTTAAATACCAAAGAGTAAAGACATCAAATTTGGTGAGTAGATTTTCCCCTAGCATCCAAAACAAATGTATTGTTTAGAAAACTTTAGCTAATGAATATAAAACCAATTAAAGCAGGGTTTCAAGGAAAGCAAAAACGGCAGGAGTTAATGAACCAACAAGAACACAAAACATTTCCTTTCTAATGCAATGACCGAGTAGAAGGCAGAGGGGGGAGATGTGGAGTCAACAAGTCCTTTTCTATGCCATGTTGTTCTGTCCATCCGCTGAAATAAGCGAGTCCAATCTGCAGGGGGGATTGAATTGTGCAGATTGGATTGATGTGGTTCAGTGGCTGAGCAGAACAAACACATAGGAGAGATGACTTGTTGACCCCACATCTCTGGTAGAAGGTGACCTAAGGTGTTGTTTGTTTGCATAACTTCTCAGTTAAATGTTCTTTAACAGTCAAAAACATCAGCTATCATCTGTGGGTCACATCTTTAAAGAATCAAACTGTTTGCTGAAATCTTTCCTGTTGATTTCTATTCACAATACTGCTGCAGGGGCCCATTTATTTCCTGGTGTCTGAGCTAATCATGGATAGAAATATAAAATGCATCTTCTTTATGATTCTAAATCTATAACTTTACTTCCTGTCAAACATTGTGTGTATCATTAGCTTGAACTAACCATTGCATCATACAAAAATGTGTGAAATCTAAGGGTAGATGGACATCAGTATAACACTGAACTATGCATCATGAAATAATCTGTGATTACACAGGCTATTGATGTTTGTGAGGTTTAAAGTAATATAAAATGCAGTAATCCTTTTAATATTAACTAACAGATTGATGAGGATTCATAGAGGCCATGATGTTGGCTCTATTATTAGGAAAAACTCCACCACTCATAAGCTTAGCTGCTGTTCAGGTCCAGTAGGAACAACCTTACTGAAAGCATATTGCAATTTTCAATATTTGACGGTGATAAAAAAAAAAACAAAACAAAAAAAAAAAACATTATTCTTTAGGAAAATCTAACTGTAAATTTTTTCATTACTGCTTCTTTAATGTTCACTTTCATAAAATGATGGTATTGCAATGTAAGAAGTGTAGATTTAAAAGACAAATCCTACTCTATATGTACCATACACACATTATTATCCCAGATATTTAGTGTAAGGCAGTGTTGGTTGCAGCGTTTGTGCGTAAAGTGAAACCATATAAAGAGATTAATATTCCAGCACTATACAGAGTTCCCTCCCATTTTTTGATAGGCATCAGTCTAGAGACACCATGTGATGATTTACCACCTGATCCCTCAGTAAGTGAAGATAGTTGGTATCAGATGAATCTTGCAACAATTTGGCTGAGACCCAATCTACATTTTTTGAGGAGGTGTGCACCTTTCATTAGCTTTCATGTATTGAGTAACAGACGCATGTTCCTCAAAATGCAATTGGAACAGGAAGCAAAGATGTGAAATCTTCTGTTTCATTTCTTTCAACTAAATACTGATCTATCAAATTCTGATAAACTGCATGAATATTTCATTAAGGCCCCATCCACACAGAATTTTTGCAAAGATAATCTATTCTTTAGGCTCTATTTAACATGGATGGGGCATTTTTGGAGGCCATAAAATATATATTTTTAAAACCAGCTCCCACAGTGGGAAACTCTTAATGCTGGTTTAATGTCAGTGGATTTCTATTGGTTTTGTTACTGGTCTTACCACAGTGACACCAATAGGCCAAGCATACTGTATGTAATACAGCTTTCTCAGTGATGCTGTTTGCACTTTTATGGGTGCAATTTGATTCAAATGCACTTATGAAAAGATACTTAGACTGGATCTCAGCCTTTTAATCAATGTCCTGATTGATTTTCTTGTTTAAAAAAAATGAGTTAAAAAAAGTAATTATAATCCTGCATACTAACCATGTCCAGCTTTCCGTCATGAGCTGTGAGAGAAGACATGGCGTACGTAGACATAGTGCAGGCAGCCAGGGAGTAGTAGGTGTTCATGGCTGTACGGTGCTGGGGGTCTCCATGTTCTGTGATGGCAGAGTTGAAGCTGGGCCAGAACATCCACAGGTAGATGGTACCTGTATTTACAGTAAAATGGAGTCAATCTTTAAAAATCTAGCAGTAGTAGAATACATTTAAAAAAACTGAACTTAAAATATCTGTAAAGATACTGTATGCTGTGTTGCATTTAATTCAATTCAGTTTATTTATGTAGCGCCAATTCACGACACAAAAGACACTTTAGAGAGAATTCAACAAGATCATAAAGTCAGATTGCATCGACTCTACAGCAATCCCTCAAACCAAGCATGCTAGTAGCGACAGTGGAGAGAAAAGGCTCCCTTTTAACAGGAAGAGACCAAGAGAAGCAGGCTCAGTGTGAGCGGCCATCTGCCGAGGCCAACTTTAATCAATCACCATGATTATAAGTTAAATAAGAAAAAAGAAGTTAAGAAGCATTATTGCTTAAGATTTATGTGCTAAGAAGATGGTGTGTTCACTTGCAAAAACGAGAAAAAAAAAAAAGAATCTGTCATACTGAATGGAGACATTTAAATAAATCTTTAAAGTAATGCCCTATGATTGGTAGCTCTTAACATGAGTGACAGTGTCGTCCTGTCAGAATACCTCACATTGATCACACACCCTGGCTACTTGGCCACAGGGATATCCCTTTGGATAAGCACGTGTGACCTTCGCCTTGGAGTCTGTCAGAATCAGAATCGGGTTTATTGCCATTGTTAGTGAAGGAGTTCACAACTAGGAATTTTTTATGGTACAATCGTCGGATCAAATCCCACCCGGACCCTCTGTTACATACCACACACATAATCTAAACCATTGCATTACATTCTCTACCCTACTTGACGTTGAACTTGCCCCACCTTCTCATGCTTTTTGCAGTCTTTAAAAGATGTATTTATTCCTCCTTTTCATTAAATTTAGAAACCTTTCCTGTTCCTCCAGAAGATAAGCATCCCCACAAGTCCCAGCATGCTGGTGCTTTGGTCTGGCATCTTTAGTGTTTTGCATGTTTGGAAAAAAAGTTTGATCTATTATAGTATAAATCTCACCTAACCTGAACATCCTGTATCAGATGTCCATCTCTCCAGCCTGACTTCAAAGATTCTCCCACATGAGCCCTGGATCTCTGCAACTCTATCCAGTGATACCATGTGCATTTCAGATAGAAAGTCTTTCTATACAATCTTTCATGTTAGTCTGACTTCCTTGTCTTGGGAGGGATTGCTGCAGAGTCAACCACATTATGCAGGCGAATTTCTACGAAGCTACATGCTCATCCAGAAGGAGAAAATTCTGCAGCGTTAATGACTCAATGCAGTCTGTGGTGTTTCCTTAGCCAGAAAACTTTGAGGGGTTTTGAAGCAGGATTAGGTTATTAAAAGAATCCCCAGAGCTTTCTCACTGACCTATCCACCATGTTCCTGGGTCTCTATACTGTTTAATAAGTGATGTTCTATAATAAACCTTTGAGATCTTCACACACCACCCGGATTATACTAAATGAAAGACTTATTTACACAAGCATGGGTTATATTTACTAATGCTGGATTTAAATACATGTACTATAGTGTAAATTAATTTAATCTCATGAAGACATATTAACATAGCCTGGGTGCCATTCCGAACTCAGTCCCGGCCACAAGGTTTGAGGTCGGGAAGTTCGGTCTGGCATTGCTCCATAGTAGCGTGAGTATGATAGCCCACTGTCTGGCGATCCAATCAAATTGTCAGGGCGGGCTTTATACAATGATGGACAGATGATCAACAGTAACGTAATCAACCACGTGACCAATGCGCGCTTGGGTGACAACAACAATGGCTGCCTCTGGAGAGTTGAGGTGTGTAGATTCTGCTATTAGGTCTGTTCTAGAAGATATCGACAGCAAATTAATTTTGAAAGAGGAACAGAGAAACACGATCAAGGCTCATCTTCTTATTCTAGGCGTGCAACTGCACGCTTTGATTTTTGTTGACAACAACTATGCATCGCTTAACATACGTCATGCACTCCGTTGCTCTTATTGGTTGTAGGTCTATCCAATTGAGTGCAGAGGCATTTTTTTTCCTGGTTCGTTCTAAACACGCCCCATAATCACAGCTCTGTGGAGCAGTATCAGACTCATATTCTGACTAGAATTGAAAAGGACTACGTCAGACTAATATTAACATGCTTAGATATTGAAATATTTTTGACTTTTTAACTATAAGATGTGTGTCTAAGAAATTTTATGTAGGATTTATTCTCCTCACCTCCAACTCTTCTGTGTTTTATGACCAATTGCGGGTTTAATACTGCCAGGTCCCTTTAGCTGGGGAGTTTTATGACTGCATATTTTACATCACTAAAAATATCCGACATAGGTATAGATATTCAGATATAGGGTATGTTTACAAGGATCATCCTTCACTATGATTGTGGAAAGTGAAGACAACAGAGGGATCTGGAAAGTTTACGAAGAGGAATTTCAAGTTTTTAAATTGTAAATATTGGATGCTGTGAGTCAGGTCACACTTCTGAGTTCTTTCCTTTACATCAAGCATGCTGAAAACATAGGACCTATGAAGGAAAGCATTTCCTATTAGAGTTTTTGTCGTATGAAAGTAAAGGTTGGGGGGAAAACAAGCAAATTACTCAAAGCTACTAATATAGTAATGTCATCAAGGATTCATGGAGAAGAGAATGAAACCTATTAGATCTGAGCGCTGAAACAAGCCCTGTTGTTCTAGACAGCCTATATTTACAGTACAAAGCATGTCACAACCGTTTGGCACCGAGCCTCAACTTATACCCACAGGTAGTATACAAAGAAAACTTTTCCTGGAAATCTTCTGTTTCGCAAGAATTACCTATCATAGCAAACATGTCAGAGTGGTAGACAGACGAGTTCTTGTGTTTGCTCTTGTCAAGGTTGGGTCGGTATAAGACTCTGGTCACCATCAGGCCAAAGTAGGCTCCAAATGTGTGGATGGTCATGGAGCCTCCAGCGTCTCTAGTCTAAAAGAAGGTACAAGGGTTGGTTTAAATCCTCGAGTGCATCAGCTGAGCAAATAATACATTTTAATTAAGTACTATTTATTACGAAGGCATTAGATTAGTTATCAAAGAAAAATATTTATTAGTTTGGTTTATGGTGACTTACTCCTAGAAGGCTGAGTAAGATAAACTCATTGACAGCAAACAGCGTGACCTCGAAAATGGCCATAATCAGCAGCTGGATTGGGCTGGTTTTACCCAAAACTGCTCCGAAGGAAATCAGCACAGAACCGGTGCAGAAATCTGCATTAATCATACTGCAAAACAACAAAAACAGAGATTAGAATGGAAAAACAAGCAAAGTCAGCTTTCTCTCAAAGTCAGTTTTTCTCTTACGTCTCTTAATCAGCCAATGTTAGATGACACAACCCTCATAGAACATGTCACTACATGCGCAATGTTAAAGTTAAATAAATGCTTTTGGCAGTATAGGTTTTGCTTAACTTCCTTCAGAGAAACAAAGGTCTAGCTGTCTGAGTTAGTTTATAGACTTTACAATATTGCAATAACGCTCTTCAAGGTAATGCATCTTTTATGTTATCATGTATTGTAAAAGATGAAACACAGTTAGTGTCCCTTGATTAGGGACACCTCTCATTCAAGCATGAGAAAGGAATCATGTAAAGTTGGTTATAATGCCATATCCTCTGGAAAAATTATTACTTAGACTTTAGTTGAATTACAAAAAGAAAATTACTTTATGTTCATGTAAGTCACCTTTAGGAATTAAAAGGAACCTTTATGAAACACAGGTTGGATGCACATTTCCAAAGGTGGTGGCTGCAAGTTTAACTCCTCCAGGCCAATAAGTGGCTTACTCACCCTTTGCCGTTCCGTACTGCTCACCTGTCATTGTCCAAATCTACTAACTTACAGGTTCAGAGGAAAATCAGTACCCTAGGCGTGGCGTCTACACCCCTTCCTCGAATCTGCACCAACAGTCGAAAGCTTGTAAACTTGTACCCCCTCATTTTCCTCTTTTTCTTTTTTGGCTTAAATATGAAAAATTTAAAGTTGGGAAGAAAGCTACTAGGATGTGGCAACACAAGAGCTTTTTCTGACGTGACTTAATACACCATTATTGCTGCAGAACCTTTGCGTGTCGACATTGGCATCGTACAACTTATTCTCCACCACTGTAGGCACCATTCATGGAGGTATCACTTTTGATAATTGTTTCGGTTTATAAGTTGTACCTATGATCTGTAATCATTAGGTTTAATTTAATCATCTAATATTTTCTACCTTTCAACCCCAATGGCGATCTTCCCATCATGCAGGCCATGGAAGAAGCCTTGCATGAGAGTGGCCCACTGCAGAGAAAAGGCTGCAATAAGAAAATTGAAGCCCACACTGCTGAAGCCGTAGCGTTGAAGGAAGGTCATGAGGAAACCAAAGCCGATGAAAATCATGACGTGCACATCCTGGAAACCTGCAGAAGATGGAAAACATGGCATGGGGATGAAGTTAATGTGGACTCACTGCCTTGTTAGATGCATGTTTTGGTCAAAATATGGTCTCATACACTCTGCTGCAAGTGCAAAAAGGTCTTTAAATAAGTTTCATTCATCACTGTTGAGCTGTCAGATACTTGGCTCATCACCAACCTGCATCAACAGACCTGCATTTACCATCTAATTACTGACAGTTGATCTTATTAACTTAGGCTTCCTGAAAAGTCAGGTTCAGTTGTAACTTGCATGATGGTATATGACTCATTTGTTTAAACCTTTAAACTTTGAGTTATAACTTACAGAAATTCACAAAATAAATCTAGATTAGAGTTTGAAATGGTCAATGACCCATTTTAAAAATGAACTCTGTTAACCTTTTCCATGACATTGTCTCCTGCCCTGATTCACACAGTTTGAGAACATTGCTCATTATTTGTTTCAAACTGCTATTCATAACATTGCTCTCTGCTGTAGGTGCCGTCGTTGTGGTAACTGTTAATTGGCTTAACCAAGCAGAGATCTTGCCAGCTTCCCTGTTGGTATTTTGGCCTTGATTCCCACAGTTCCCAGTGGCCTGGACGGACGCTTTCATATCAATGGAATAAGAAGCGCTGTTGGCTGGGAATCCTGTAAGCCAAAAGAAAAGTTCTAAACTGCGTTTTTTCCCACTGACATCATTTTAAAACGTTGAGATTTTCCTCTTTTTTTCTTTGATCATACCTGCTCAATAAATGGAAATCTAGATGATAGATTTGAAATCAATTAGCTCCTGCCATATGGGCCGAAGCACGAATTTAGAAGATTAAATATTTTATTTATCTCATATCTTATTTAAAGAAACGGAGCGTTTTTCTGTACAAGATATGCAAATACATTACTAAATCTAAACCAAAGCCAGTTTATTCATATTCTACACATACTGTATCGTGTACTGAGTTAAAAGAGTTTCTATTTAATTTTTTTAAATATAATTATATATTGATTATTAATTATGAGAGCTGGGGGTTAAGCATACATAAAATATTACAGCACATGACTTGTCCACCAGTTAGCTCATGTTTAGTGTTGCCTTCCAATTCAGTAAGATTGAGCCAGAGTCCTTTTCCAGCTATTTTTACATCTGAGGTGAAAAACTAAAGAAAACTCACAATGTGGATAATTTGTTTTGGAAAATAATATCAAAATACTCTGTTTCCTGGCTTTTTTTTTTTTTTTTTAACAGTATGTTACCCCATAGGCACGCTGGCTTCGTCCAAAAACACGACTGTTAGGTTAATTGGCTTCTCTAAATTCTACTTAGGTACGAGTGTGTGTGTGTATGTGAATGGTTGTTTGTCCTGTTTGTCTCTGTGTTGCCCTGCAATGGACTGGCAACCTGTCCAGGATGGACCCCGCCTCTCGCCCATTGACAGCTGGAGATACTGTAGGCACTAGCATCCCTAACGACCCCAGCAGGGATAATAGTGACGAAAAATGGATGGATAGAGGTTATCCAATATAAGCTGGTCATATGCTCCACTTTGCTCAAAAGAAAATTAAGTACTAGAAACACAATAGGTTATTCCCAGTTTGACTTAATGACTACCTTAAACTGAATAAATGAGCAAATTACAAACCCATGTGATGAAGAACTTTTATAATTCAGTTTCTATAGCATCTCTAGAGGTCTGAGCTTTTGGAAGAAGCCGGAGTACCCATGGGATTAAAAACATAATTTATTAAATAGGGGTGTGCATGATAATTGTCATGACAATGCATCGCGATTCTAATCTTTGTGATCTACTGCATCGATTCTTGATGCCAAGTATCGATTTTTTATTTTAAAAAAGGAATAAATAAAATACATGAATGGTTGGCGCACATCAGCCAAAAATAACGTCCAGTCCAGAAGATGTCGCTGCGGATGTGTTGACGCCCGCTTCCTGGTGTCACAAGCATTTTCGGCCGCGGAATTCTGCGACGAGTCATTTATAAACAAAACATGAAGGAAAATTCGCCCAGTTCCATCACATTTCAAGTCAGATGTTTGGATACACTTTGGCTTTAAAACATAGAAGGTAAAAACGAAATTGATATGACGCACGTAATTTGAAAAAGGGGAAATGTCATACATTTGAATGTTTTCATTTCATTGGTTTAAAGGACCAACTAAATGAAAACAGTGCAGAGTAAACGGCACTGACTATCCCTTTTTTGTTATTTTAAGTTTTATAAATGCTAAGCACTTTTTGTCAGTGTGTCCACTCTAGTAATAGTAATATTTGTTTCCAGTATTTGTTTTCATGGCAATACCTCCAAAAGTCATTTTAATAAATAAAGTTATATATGAATTTTGTTGTTTTCAGTTATTTATCAATTGAAGACTGTTAGAAATATTTTATCTATACTCTGTTTGTGTTTGATGGGTTGTGTTCTAATGAACTATTATGATGTATAATATGTGATTCATCTTTTATTAACTCTTGCTTAAGATTGTTCCAGATAAAGGTCATGCAACGGACGGGTTGTAAAGGAGGCCTGAACATCCTCTATCACATGCTGGGTTGTAAAAAAGACATGTTTAGAATAAAGACACATGTTTCTTCTAAACATGTGTTCTTGGAACAATTCTACGAGGGGCCGTTTAGGACAGAAACTATTTTGTTTTAACATATGTGCTGAGGTTTAAAGTAAAATCTTTTTGTTTCCCCTTTCCCTTTAGTTAAACCTCAGCTGATGTAATTAGGGACATCCCCTTTTCTTCAATAAATAGCAAGGAGAAAGCTGAAGACTGCAGAGTGGGGTGGAGATTGTAAACTCTGCATTCTCCTTCCTATTCTCCTCGCAAGTAACTAAATTAATTGTCTCTGTGCCTTCTTTCTTTCCCTGTATGTATGTACGTATGTATGATGTTTTAGGTGCTAAGACCTGACAAAGACACTATCCAGGTCAGACTCAGCCAGTCAGCCACTGGTAATGGCTGTATATTTTTCTAACAGTGTTCAGTGAAAATATTGCAGTGCATCGCAATATTTCAAGTATCGTGATGCATCCTGATAGAATCGCATTGTGGCATGTGAATCGTGATTCAAATCGAATCGTGACTTCTTTGGCAATACCCACCCCTATTATGAAATTATGTTCTCTATGCATTCAGAAAAGTTAGTCATGTAGTTAATTTTAGAATTTTTGTCGTAAGTATTCAGTTTTACTCTGTGTATGCTTAACTTGATACTGGTTCCTATGAATTGTTTATTCTCCTAACAGTATGCCTGCAATAGTGGTTCCAGGCTGTAGAGCATGAAAAGTGTGAACCTGTCTCTGTTTACTGTATATGATCCTTTTTGTCCCAGCATACAATAAAGAGGCAGGATAGCGTCTGTGTACAAACATCCCTGAGATGTGAAGGTGAACTTTTTTCCAGATCCTTTGACAGAGAGGTGTCAGGTTAAAAACTGTTACTCCTCAAAATGCATCAGATTCAACTTTCCACCCTTATTTTCACATTTTAGATGTGGCACAGCAATGAAAGAAATAGTTAATTCCTCTAAGTTTTAAAACTATGTTCTTTGTGTCTCAACATCAAGTCAGTGCGGCCAAAGTAAAGTGATGCAGATCTATTTGGAAAAATTCTATTAACGGCATCTTTTTTATTGCTTAATCTAAAACAGATAATTAAGTTGAGTAAGGATGTGTGTGTTTATAGCAGAGGTCAATCAGTGAGGGGAAAAAAAGGATGCAGTGTTTGCTGTCAGAGGAATGCCACGTTGAAACTAAACTTTAGCAATAAGGTAATTTACTCAGAGAGCTTGCATTGGCTTGATAAAGTCAGGGGCTGAGCAGAGAAACTGGTGTAAAAAAAGTTAGGAAGAGAAATGTATTGTCTCTTTAGTTACAAAAGGGTTGAAAATGATTTAAGATCCATGATCAGTTTGGAAGGCAGTCAAAATGGTGAACAGGATCCACATTTATGACACCTCAAAGATGTTAAAACTTAAATTTGGGCTGCCTATTGGTACTTTGAGCAATGTTGGGTTTTGGTTCAGGTATAAGTGAACTAAGTATGAATACACCTAAATAACACTGAAGTTGGATTGTTCAAACATTCAAAAGTGAGACGAACTTTCTCATTCGTTTAGAAACTAATATCAATAACAATAAACCCACCAGATTATTCTGTTACCTTCTTATCAGAGATGAGACAAAATAAGTCACAAGTCTTTATCCTCAAATCCAGAGTCAAGGTAGTCAAGTCAGACACGAGTTTCCAAATAATACAAGTAATTCAAGTAATATCCCAAGTCTGAAACTTCAAATTTCCAGACCTTTCAGGTCCTTTGTTTTTAAACAAAGTAACATAAGTCAAATCTCACTAACTGACACAACCATTGCAACTCCACATTTCAACTGGAAATGTCAAAAAGTGGAAAAACTCACAAAGACAATCAACAATTTCAGCGTTTTATTGAAATAAGAAGCTTAGCCCGAGGCGCTACAGACGGGGGGGGGGGAGATGTAAACATACAGAATGATGATGGTTTGATTGAGCGAAGCAAATAGCATTGATACATCATTCCCGCAACAGCCTTACAGTGATGTTAGAATAAAGAGAGAAGGAGGAATGGGATCAGAAGATCATATGGGATGTTTTAAATGTATTATTGGTGCTCTGTTTTTTGTTTTTTTTAAACAGACTTTTTAAACTTTAGATTTGAGGTTTAACTGCCCTGCGTTGAACTGGCCACCTGTCCAAGGTGTACCCCGCCTCTCACCTGTAGACAGCTGGAGATAAGCACCAGCACCCCTCGCAACGCCAGCAGGGGTTGACAGAAGATGGATGGATGGGTGGCGTTAAAATTAGTCTAACTAAAAAAGCTCATTTCCAATTCAAGTCTAGAGTCATTCATGAAAAAGTCAGTCAAGTAACAAGTCAGACCATTTTTTCAAGTTAACTCTGCAGTCATTAAATGAATTAATCTAGTCCAAGTCATATGACTAGATTTTCCACCTCTGCTTCTCATGTTAAGTTTCTCTTGCATGGATTTAAAACTGAGATCTCGTAATTACGTCAAACCTCTTTCCCTTTTGATAAGCAGTTGCTAAACTAGCTGATATGCTCAGTGTCAAAACTAATACCTTTTACCAATACCCCTTAATGTTCAAACAGTGTTGCTGCATGTTTACTAAAGGAGACACAGCTCAGTGTGTGAAGAGAATAAACAATTTAGTTGTTGTGGTTAAAAAGTTTAAGACTTCAGATAAACTATGTTTCTCCTCCAGGTACCAATAACTCTTATGCAAGGTGGCCAATTGAGGTCGAGTCCAGGATTGTTGGGAATCCTGCATTCCCCAAATCAAATTTGAAATTTAGAGTGAGCCTTCGGTTAATTTAAGTTAAAACCCAGAAATTTAAATTTTTTAGAAATAAACTGACTATCATGCCGTTTCAATATTAGGGATAAAAATTGCGGCCTCTTTGATTATTTCTAGAAATCTTTTTATTCACACCAATTTTACTAAGTTTAAGAACCACTGCAGTAACTGATTCAAACATTTTATTAAAGATCTAATTAGACAAATGTGTTCTGGGAGGGACCACTGAAAGCTGACTGCTCACGCTGACTTTAAGCATCCTGGACTGATGCTCACAAGTGTTTGTAGGATAAGAGATGGATGGAGTGACTGGGTATACTCTGAAGTAATGTTTTCTCTGTGGGGGTCTGTTAAGAAAGCATTATGATCTTCTTGGCTGATGGCTGCTCCCGAGTCTGCTTCTGTTGGAGGTTTCTTCCTGTTAAAATGTACGTTTTCCTCTCCACCGTCACTACAAGCATGCTTAGTGTGAGGGATTGCATTAGAGTCAATGAGTCGATGCAATCAACTGGTTTTCCTTAGATCGAAAACTTTGAATCAAATTGACTGTATGATCTGGTGAACTGTAAAGTGCCTTGAGATGACATGTGTTGTGAAGTGGTGCAATAGAAATAAACTGAATTGAATGCTGTGGCCATGAGCTAATAATAATTGGATAGGTGGAAAACCTTGCTGCTCTTGTACTCTAAGGATTTTCATTTAAGCAACACATGTCCACCTGACGATTACCTTTACATGTTGTATTATTGGACACCATTACGATGTGTGTTATCTCACACTTTTTAAACAGATGGACTGGGTTCAAACATCAACACAAATCTGTTCGATAAGTTTAGGATAAAGGAGACTTTTTCAACAAGTGGCATAAAGATAAACCAGCAGCTACTGTTCTTCTGTGTATGTTTTCACTAAACAGGAAAAAAAACATGATATTCTGCAGTATAACACTTTGGCTAAAAGTCCTTCAAGTTTCATTGTCCATAAAGTTTTGCATTGATGCATCTGAGGCCTTAAGCTGTATATTAATGTAACAACAACCTGCACTTTATCCAACCTAATTGTACTTTTTGTTGCTTAATACACTGAACAAACAACGTTTAGCCTCCTAAAACTCACCTAAGTAATCGTCACCTATTTTGCATACCCAAATCCAAAAGCAAATACCTGAGGAACTGTAAGCCCAAATTACATGTGTGATACATCATTTAAAGGCTAAAGTAACTTTAAACTCTGATATTCAGATTAAGCTTTGCTGCAAAGCAAACTTTGTAAACTCTGCTAATCAGGCAACGACTTCAGCAAATAAGGGTGGTATTCTTAGAGAGTCACATGTGATTTGTTGGCTCTAATTCAAAAGTCAATATCACAGTGACAGGCTGAGGCAGCCCTACAGTAACCTGCTACTGGAAGAATTATTACCTGGAATATTATTATGCAAGAAGATGGCTTACCCTTTTAGCATTCCCATCATTCTTTGTTGTTTCAAAGCTCCGCCCTCTCACCTGGGTGAGATGCCTGGAGGTAAAAGCCTCTCAGATTGACAACTAGACAGCCATGTTAGGATGTCCTTTTAAAGATTGAATATTAAGCTATGGGGAAAAATTTAACTCATGATTATTCTTTTGCATTTTACAAAAATGAGAGATTCAAACATGTGAATTAATATTTATCTATAAAACATATTTATACATAAGTAGAATGCTCTTACTAAATATCTTAAGCCACACTAGAAAAAAGATAAACTTTTGAAAACAAATTAATCAAACTGCTTAAATTTTGAGCTTTTCAATTCTATTGAGTTTTTTCTTTGTCAGGTTGTATGCTCCGAATGGAGTTGCTGAGCACTGGAAAATTAACTGAATAAAAATTTTTTTCTTACAATGCCTTGCTATATAAAAAATTATGTTAAACATTAGTAGTCAACCCTTTTTTTTTTGTTGTGTTCATTTTATTCTTGAATATACTTTTGGATCAGGAAATTTAAGAAAACAAAGGTGGCCCAACAAATTCAGCATTAAAGACAGCTGCAGCTTTCTCTTAAAATGGTGCCCCAACCACAGCCCAGCTTGGATGTGTCCCTGGTGCAGCAGATAGAATTGAAATGATTGCACTTCCTGCTTACCCTGCTGTCAAGTTTGGCAGAATGATCTAAGATATCAAATCAAGGGTGTGTTATTAAGGAAACATCTGAAACCTGCAGCCACCTGAGGACCATGGAAGGGAGACTTGATCCATAAATAACAGTCCAGTTTGAATAGGAAGTGCTGATTTACCTTAGAAAGTTGTAATGCTAACCGCTTAAACAATAAAAAAGGAGGGATTCAAATTTACTGATAAGGAAAGGAATAAAAACGGATAGAGATGTATTTTCATCAAAAACAGATAGGCATGATAGCAAATGTCATTTAAAGCAATAGTTTCTGTGTTATTCCTATCTACAGGCTAAAAAAAAAAACTTTTCCCCCTCAGATATTTGATGTATAACATTTTGCTTTTAGTGCAACGAAAATGATGCATCTATATTCCTCTGTTGAGACCAATTAGAAAACAATGTGGCCATTAAAACAGATTTAAAATGTTCAAATATTTCTGAATCTGCATGCATTATGTCCCTTTGATTCTGTTGGACAGCCGTTGAACTGCAATGACACACTTAGAACTTTTTGACCCCTGGTCCACAGGACACTTACTTGGATAGCGGTAGTAGAAGTCATTCTCATAGTCGTTATGAGCTGTTTGAGGTGTAGAGTTACGAGACGTCCCAGTAGCATGCCCACCATGGCCATGAGAGTTTGGAGTTTTCCCATTAAATAGCTTTGCATCTGTGTCATGGTCATACTCCACCAGCACACCAAAGAGGATGATGAGAATGATTTCCAGGATGAAGCAGACAATTGGCAGCTTCAGCCGCATGTTGGTAGATGAGTCTGTCATGTTTTCTTGCAGGTCAGAAGAGGATTAGAGGCTTGGAGAGGCTGGTTGTTTTTCCAGCTGGGCTATTGCTGTGTATCTCACTCAGACACCGGGGTGTCCCTGGTGTCAACACTAAAAGGCTGGGGAGTTTGTGTGTGTGACCCAGCTGAAGAAAATTGCATCTGATTTTGTTGAGTTGGGTCACACCTACAGAGCAAAGCAAGGTGGAGACTCAGTTAGTCCAGCCCCTTCTGAGTTTGAACTCACCTCAGTTTGTCAAAAACTTTTTAAAAGATGAGCACATTCTAGCTGGGATTTAAAAAAACATACAAAAAATATAAAAAAAAAAAATCCTCTTAACACATCTGGTCTACATGCAAGCTATGAGCAGTAAGATCCATCTTAAAATGAATAGCCACTGACTTAAAAAGGCATATTTCCTCATTCTATTGCATTAAAAACAAAACTTCAGTGTTGATTTATTTTTGTGATAAACCAACACAAAGCAGAAAGATTCAAACATGGTTTCTGATTAGAATCTGACCATTGAGCCCCCCTCACTACTGGTATTGATCCAATCCAGAGCGACCCCTCACCTTCACAATCACCTGATAAGTAAGTTTCTGCTGATAGGTTAAGCTCCGCCTCAAACTACCCCTTACCTTGCAAGCAAGATCAATTATTGCCAGATTTCTGAATTCAAAAACTCCTTAAAATACCTCTTGCCAGAAGCCAGCCGATGCATTAGCCTCTATACAGAAATGTTTTGAACTAATGAAATGCAGTGGCGTGAATGATGTCAAAGCACCAACCAAATACAGAAAGCTGACGAAAAAACGAAGATGGCTGTGCCAGTTTTAGCAGAAATGCCCTGTATTCCCTTTTAAAAATGAGCAAAAGGACACGATTTGTGCCTTTGTGGATGGGAAAGATGTTTGTGCATTACTCCTGAACGGATCTGGAAAGAGTTTGATTTATAAGTTAACTCCGCTAGCTGTAAAACAAATCAGGAATGTGATACGTCACAGCGGCTACTGGTGCTGTGATTGGTTAAAAGTTCGACATTATGATTTACCCAATTGGCTCAAAGAATAGTATTGAACGTCCCTCCCTTTTACGAACACTTTCAACAGGAGGCTTTCCAGATGCATACTATGTAGTTCCATCCGAATTATGCCAGGCTAGATCATCCCTCCCTGATCCAGGGGAAGAGGTATTCTCACAAAGATTTTATCCTTCCACCCATTTTCTCCGGACAGGGAGGGCCTGCTGCTCACAGCAGAACTCATCAGGACCACTTAGAGATGCATACATAAAATAAAATACAACTTTTTGTGTGATTCAAATACAGGAAGAGCATTATGATATACTTAAAAGCTAAAAATGTAGATTTTGCATTCTACAGACCCTTTAAACTTCTCAATGACCGATCTTTAGTACATAAACTAAACAGGAAAAAGAATTTGATACTGTAAACACAACAAAACACACCTAAAGACACCTAAACTTAAAAGTGTGGAGAGCTACCCCTCTTAAATGGAAGCTTTTTGGGTGGGTCTTTCAGTGACATGTTGTTTTCTATTACATGAAGTTGTCTGACCAGTTTTAGGTCATAGGCGCTACTATACCCTGGACTCTGAGGCCCTGACCTTCATGGAGGACAGAGCCAGGGTCTGCAACATGTTTATGTATGTTCAGCGCTAAAGATGCATAGTTCATACTGATATATTTAAAGAAATTCCATTAATCTGTATAATTTTGTCCCATATCACCCAGCCTGAGATCAGTTTGTGTTTTGGAAAATCATCATCTTAATGTGTTGACCTTGATATTTCAGCCCCATTTCCTGTTAGAAACAGCAACAACAGCACAGACCATTAACTGTACAGAAAACAATGCAGCGCCATGTGAAAGGATACTTTGATCAGTACATACAAAGAAAAAGGAGGCATCCACACCTCAGCCGCCTCTATTAAGCTGCAGGTTAAGTTGGTTTGAGAAACCCTTTATTATGTCTGCCCCTCCTCATCCTCAGCCTTATCCTCCTGTCTGAAGTAACATAAGATACTGTATGTCACTCACACCTCTATCTACATTTTCTTTTGAATGGAATAGAATGAGATAGAACTGTGTTATGAATTGTCGGAATCTAAACTATCAGCCCATGGAGATTGGATGATTTAAAGAAATGTAATGAATTCAGCTGGAATATAAAGGCCTCCTGTTTGGCTCAATTTCTTTCCACAAGTCAGTTTGGTGCTTCCGGAGCTTCTCCCATGTTTTATAACTAACATTACACTAAAAAAAATAAAAATAAATAAATATTCTAGCATGTGTATATAAATGTTTTTTACATTTAGGCATCATTTTAGTGCGAGGAGTTCTGTCCAATGGCCTTATTTTAACCATGGAAGTGGGACCATCCTTTATGGTTTATACAAATAAAAAAACACATGCAGGTTTATTCTAGTCTTTATGGGAAACTATCTTCCTGCTCAACTGTTTTAAGTTGATCACATAAAGGAAACCTTTAACATGTCTCATCCTGCATTTTCATGTTAAACCAGCATCAGCAGAGTTTCAAAGGAATCAATCAGATATAAGAGATTAAGCTCCGCCTGCCTCAATGGTTCATATGGATAGTATATATATATTTACAAATCTTAATAAAAATATGAATAAAATATTACTATACCCTCAAATCCCATCAAACTAAATTGTGTTTTTCCCCCAAAAAATATTTGTATTTACTTTACAATTTACTTTATAACTGAGTACAGTGCTTAACACAATAAAGAACAACTCTTATAATAGAAAAAAACACAAATTAAAACGAGACAAAACAAAACAGTTTAAACCTTCAAAGTTCGTCAATATGTTGCAGTGAGACAGTTTACTGTCAACCTCTGAGGTGGAATGGAAGAGCTAAACATGTGGAAACAATTATTAGCACCCCTCACTTAATGAAAGAATAAACATAATGGTTAGACACAAAAAATAATTAATATCAATGCAGTTGCTTTTTAACTATGCTTTAATACAATTATAAAAATAAAAATAAAAACTTATGGAACAGGTCTTTGCTGACATGGTGCGTACCACACTCAACATGGACCAGAGGAAGAGAAGAAAAGAATTCTCTCAGGATATTAGAAATAAAATGATAGACAAGAATGTTAAAGGTAAAAGCTAACAGTTGTTCAGAACTTTAACATCCATGGGACTGCAGCCATCCTCCCTGGATGCGGCCATAGGAAGAAAATCGATGACAAATCAAAGAGGCGGATAATATCAATGCTAAGTAATGAGTCCAGAAAAACATTTACAGAGATTAGAGGTGAACTTCAAGCTAAAGCAACATTGATGTTGCATCATCTGTCATTGCCAGTGTGAATTCTCAGTCATCCGGGTCATGGTAACCACAAACAGTCAAAAACAGGCTTAGATTGGAAGGCTGTTGAAGAATGTTGCCTTCTTAAACAATGGCATCTGCTATAGTGAACTTAATGTAAGATGACCAAGGTAGACATCATTGTTAAAAACAGACTACATGTTGGCAAGTCACAAAACTTGATAATGTCCTTTGGACAGATGAGACGAAAATGGAACCTTTTTATCAAAGCATACCAGCTATTCGGTCATAGATGGAAAAATGAAGCATATCAAGGGAAGAACACCATCCCTACTGTGAAATATGGATGAGACTCTGTTATGTTCTTAGGCTGCTTTGCTTCATCTGTCCCAGGGGGTCTGAATCTCTGCTGGGTCCAATAAAAGCTCCAGACTATCAAAGGATTATATTAGGGGTGGAACGGTTCACAAAAGCCACGGTTCGGTTCGTTTCACGGTTTCACGGTCATGGTTTTCGGTTCGGTATATGTTGATTGTTAGCCTGACATGTTGGTCTATTGCTGTTAGCATTAACAAAACGTGTTGCACAATGCTTGCACACTATTGCACTTTTATCCACAACTTTCTTTCCGCCGTTGTCGTAGGTCACTCTAAATGCAAAGTGGTCCCATACAGCAGACCTACAGTATAAAGTGCTGCTGGCGCATCTTCCAACTCCTGTTCTTTTCCACTCACCATACCCACACAATTCTCCACAACAACTGATTTTTTTCTGCTACATCCGGCTACGCTGCTTCGCTTCTTCTTCTTGTTTACTACTGGTGGTTGGCTTTGGTCGCAGTACCGCCACCTTCTGCTCTGGAGTGTACACGCTTCGCCTATGAGAAAAAGGAGCAGCGAATGAACCGAACGCAACACACGCAAATCGAACCGAGACAGTCGAACTGAACAGTTCGGACGGTTTTTAAAAACCGGTCCATCCCTAGATTATATTAAGAGTGTAACTCCATACCTTAAGAGCTACTGTGGTGAGACATTTGGATACATCTCTGCTCCAACACACCTGAAATAAGGCTAAATTAGTTGGTCATTAAGTTTTGTGAAGGTCTGGTTTTTAACCGATTATATGTTGAAGACAGGATAGATCTTAAAGGACAGGACAGGGGCCCTCAGGGACAGGAGTTAAAGACCTTTGCTTTAAACTAACCTTTGAATTTGAAGATGACTGAAATCATCACAGGTGTTACAGTTTTTTTTCTCTTAAAAACCAAATGAATGAAGAAGGTTCCTGTCATTCCAGACCAACCCACATGAAGGAACTCGTGGTCATCACTTGATGTCTGCTGTGAGTCTCGTGCTCGTAGAAATCCGGACGTCACTGTCAGTGTGGCATTCAGGTTAAATGATAGTGGTTCATTCCTGTAATGCTTTAGATTCCAGGTTAACATGATAATAACTTGGTCTTCAAATGATAACTTAACATGATTTCTTCCAGACTATTGTTTGTTGGTTAACTATCATAAAAAATATGCAGGTAATATTTATGTCATGAAATTACACCTTAAAGCTTGTTGTTACCTTATTAAGTCTCCTGATTTTTCAAAATTCACGTTTTTTTTCTTTATACTAATTAATTTATCTAGCCAAGCAAAACCTTAATTTTGTTTTACCTCAAATGTTTAAATAATCCCTTAAAAAGGATTGAAAGTTCAACCAAAGCAGAAATAAATCCTCATATCACATCCCGAAATCAAAACAAGAGGATAATCCATGGATTACAAGCTTCACAGTTTACTTTTCACTGGATTAACCCACTATCTGATTA